TTTTCACCGATTTAATCTATTGAGCAGATTAGAGAAGAACGTAGCATCGTGATTGGAGAAAGACGATCAGTAACATTCATTATGGAGTTGACACAACTTTGCTTGCTGAAAGTGAGGAGGATTTGAAATACTTGCTGCAGAAGATAAAAAACCATAGCCTTTAAGTATGGTCTGCATCTCAAAGTAAAGAAAACAAAAATTCTCACCAATGGACTGATAGATGCAGAAAAAATTGAAATTGTCAATGACTTCATCTTACTAAAATTTAAAATCAATATACTTGGTACTGTACCAGGAAAGTTCTGCAGTCAAGGATGTCTCCAAATTATTGAGTGTCAATGATGTCAGTTTGGGGACTAATGTGTGTCTGATACAGGCCATGATCCTTTTTATCATTGAGTATGCATCTGAGAGCTAGACAATGAATAAGGCTAAGAGAGGAAGAATTGATGTCTTTGAGCTGTGGTGCTGAAGAAGAATACTGAATATCCCATGGATTGCCAAAAGAACAAATAGATATTTTTTGAAGATGCAGCTAGTGGGCTCCTTGGAGAAAGAGATGATAAAGTTTTGTCTCACATCAGGCATGTTGCTAGGAGAAGCTATCCCTTAAGCGGGACATCACGCTTGGAGATGTGGAAGGGCAAGGAAAGAGATGAAGATCCTCAACCAGTTCGATTGACAGAGTAACTGCAGCAATGGGATTAACTTCTTCCTTCATCACCATAGGCTCTTGCTCATATATTGTTTCATTAAAACCTTCTGTGTCTGCCAATTCCTCTCAATACAGTGACTCAGTATATTCTTTCCATCTTCTTTTAATACTTCTTGGATCACTTAATATTCTGCCTAAAGCATCCTTGATTATAGCAACTCGAGGTTTGAATTTGTTCTTCAGTTCCTTGAGCTTAAGAAATGCTGAGCGAGTTCGGCCCTTTTGATTTTCTGACTCCAGCTCCTTGGACATTTCATTGTAATACTTTGTCATCCCATGCTGCCTTTTGAAATCTTCTCTTCAGCTGTTTAGTATCTTGAAATCGTCCTTGTGCTTTGGCTTCTCTGCGCTGCAGTGAAATATTCAGAGTTTCTTCTGACATCCATTTTGGTCTTTTCTTCCTCCTCTCTCTTTGTAATGAATGTTTGCACTCTTGGTGGATGGTACCCTTGATATCCTCCCACAAATCATCTGGTCTTTGCTTATTCGTGTTCAAGGCGTCAAGCCTGTTCCTGAGATGGTTCTGAAATTCAGGTGGACTAGACTCAAAGTTATATTTTGGTTCCCGTGGATTCGGTTTAATTTTCCTCAGCTTCAGCTTGAACTTGCATATGAGTAGTTGGTGGTCTGTTCCACAATCAGCTCCTGGCCTAGTTTTCACAGCTGATATTGAGCTTCTCCAGCGGTTCTTTCCACAGATGTAATCGATCTGATTCCTATGCATACCATCAGGTGAGATCCATGTTTATAACCTGCATTTATGTCTCTTAAAAAATGTATTTGCAATGAATAAGTCATTGTGCAAAATTCAATCATTGTATCTCCAGCTCCATTTCTGTCACCGAGTCCGTGTTTTCCAACTACTAAATCTTCTTCTCTGCTCCTAACTTTTGCATTCCAGTCACCCATTATTATCAATGCATCTTGATTGCATGTTCGATCAATCTCTGACTGTAAAAGTTGGTAGAAATCTTCTTTTCCTCTACTTTGGCTCTGGTTGTTGGTGCATATATCTGAATGACAGTGGTATTCACTGGACTTCCTTGTATGGGTATGGATACTGTCACTCACAATATTGTACTTCAAGACGGATCTAGAAATGGCTTTTCTAACTATGAAAGCAACCGATTTTTCCTCACCTGTTCATCTCTGGAGTAATATATCATATGATCATCCGACTCAAAATGCCCCATGCCAGTCCATCTCATCTCACCAATCATCACTATAGTAGTATTTTAACTCTCCTTTCAGGTCTTTATTGCAGTGTAATCCTGTCTCTAAGTATATTTACAGATTATTAAAAAACTGTGTTTTGCCACCTAGCTCTATGCTGACATGATGATAACATATAAATTTCTTTTGCATTTAAACATGACTCTTCCTACACCAGCAGTCAAGTAAACCATCTTCAGTACAGCATCTCAGACAGCCAACAGTAAGCTTCCTCAGTCTCAATAGCAAGCCTGAGCCAGATGGCTGGTCCTATGGAGGAAAGGCTAGCTAAGTGCCTACCTGAAAACCTGAGTCACTCCAAAGTAGGATTCCTGTCTTCCACATGAATTAGTCTCAACATCACGAGGGTTCTGAGTGAAAGGAAGACTCAGACATATTTATAAACAATTAAAATTCCCATTTCCTAGTAAATAAGAAATGTGCTTTCTGAATTATCATCCTGCCTAATTCCCTCCTCCTATAATGCCTTTTCACTTCAATGACTGGCTTGGATTCTATCTCCTCCTAAAATCTTATTCTGACCACTCGTGTTGGCAGTGATTCTTCCTCCTCTCATTTTCTAGATACTAGTTTTATAACTAATAATTCACAGAAGTGAATTATCATTTTTCAAATGCATATTCTTCCAAATGTATTTTTTCCCAGTCTGTTTTAAGTTCTTCAAAGCACAGTTTATGTTTCATCCTCTACCTTCCTAATAGATCTCTACTCAACTCATCACCATTGAGTGGAAACTAGCTCACAGCTGATCCTCCTGTGAATTTCTGAGACTATATATTAAACAGGAGGAGATTACCCATCTATTTCCTGGAAAAATGCTGGTAGATTTGAACAACAGGAGGTTTGGTTGCTCAACGAGTGCCTTGTGATCCATTGCTATCTATGTCTCTGGTCTCTATTAGCAGAGATCATCGATATTCATAGTCTAGCTGTTCATTTCTGGGCTTAATAAGAAATGGCAAAATTCCATAATACCAAAGAATAGTCATCATCTGTTCCTCAATTGGAAAGAAACATAATACATGAAGGTTATTTACCCTATCCCCTATATCTGAATGATAGAATAATATATTTTTTTTCACTACAACAGTGCTCACTTTATCCATTGCCTCCAGCACTGTCATCCTACTGCCTTCGTTTTATTTCTTGAAATTCCTTTTTCTTAAAAATTTTACACTAGTTTACCTACAAAGTTTGTATACATTGCTCTTCACACCAGATCCTTGCCACCTTCCCAACACACTCCAATCTTCAACATCAAACCGCGCAGCTCAATGATTATTCACCCCTCACCTCATCCCTACCCCTCAGTTTGCCCCACCCCTCAGATTCTCATAACCATTTTACTAGTTATCTATTTCTACAATAATGATCTTATGCAGAATTTGTCCTTATGGCACAGAGTTCACTTAGCATAATAGTCTGAAGTCCCTCCCAAGTTAGGTAGTGATTTATAAAATCATTGGTCCTGGGTGGCACGTAGTTGAGTGATAGGATAATATCTTATTTGCTATGGAAGTACTCAAGATTTATATTCCAGTGTCAATATCAAGTTATGTTTCTGGCTTTTTTTGAATTAGAGGTATTATGCCTAGGGATTAACTATATACAGAGGTAATGTTTCCTAACTAGAGTGCTGACATGATTACTTGATGTTGTATTCTCCTGGTTTTTGACTCATAGAACAAGAAAAAGACAAAAAAGAAAACAAAACTCACTCATCAGTTGATGCCTTTGTTGAATTAGTCTAAATATTTACTTATATTTTTATATACTTGATAGTTCTTTTGTAGGTCATAGAGTCTTTTAAGATTTATCCATGTCAATATGATTTACAACTTAAGTAGAGAGTGTTGAAGGTTGTTGTAATGATATCTCAAAACTTTGATGATAAACAGCTCTTACCATTTAATGTCAACATTAGTCTAAGACCTCACTTTATGTCAGGTAGCTTATAGACTCTCTTTTCTCAATCCTGTACCAGTACGTGCAATAACAAATATCAACTGAGAGATACCTATCTGTGAATGAGTCTGCTGAGATATGTTTATATGTGAGCAAATCTTTTTAAGCAGGGAAGAGCTGAACACATTTGGTTAGAACAAACTGAGAATTAGACATTGCCTGTAAACTAGAAGAAAAGCAGGGCAGGGCAGTAGTTAGAGAATGCCAGCTGAGACATTGGACTATATATGCTGGCTGTGCCCCTTGCTAGCTCTGTGATACCTAGTCTGTGATGCCACCTCTGAGCTTTGTTTCCTCATCTAAAATACACTTGTAAAACAGATTTATACTTGTAAAACAGACCAAGGCTGCTGTGAGATTTAAACGGCCTCCAAAGCATGTTCACTGAGGAAGTCTTTTCTGAAACATTGACAGAGCCATTGTCTCTCCCTCACTTGGCCCTGCCATCTTTTGAAATGATTTCTTTTCCTTCTTAAGATTTCAGGACATTTATTAAGAACAACTTAATATTAAATAATGCAACATTACCAAAGTAATCTATGCTAAAAATATCAAAAGATATACAGATGAAAATTATACTTAAGATTCTTCTAATAGAAAAATAGAAATAGAAACAACTTAACCATATAATATGAAGGAAATGGCTAAGTAAAACAATTTATATGCTTTAATGTTAGAGGAAACCAGTGTACAAATAACTTAGAGAAGATTAATATATTTAGAATACAATGAAAATATATAGGACATGTGAGTCTTCCATCAATAATGATTTTGGTATTTAACATGCTGTACCACACACATGGAAAACAAGTTGTGTCCCTCATATAAGGATTATTTAGCAATAAGCATGGAATAAATTATTCAGTCACTGTCATCAAGTAGGAACTAGCTCTCAGCTGACCCTCCAGTAGCTTTTTGCAGGTTGTAAATTGTACAAGAGGAAATTTCCCTTCTTCCTCCCACAAAATTAGTAATGGATTCGAACCAGGGGCTGTCTTTAGATTTGCAGTGCGACTCTCTGTGGACTACCTCTCCATTAAAACATTAACACTTAGGGAGTAAACATTATGGAATGGGTAAATTTTACCTTCAGGAGAAATTTCCTTCCAGGGATTTGGTGGATACATGAAAGCTGCATTCTGGATTTGGTCGTGTATGTCTTCATCTTCATTAAATGGGAATGTGCCACTCAGGCTTACATAGATAATGACGCCAACAGACCACATGTCTAGAGAGCGATTATAGCCCTTGTTCCGTAGAACCTCAGGAGCCAAGTAAGCTGGGGTGCCCACCACCGACCTCCGGAAAGACTTTTCTCCAATGATCCGGGCAAAACCAAAATCACAAAGTTTCACCTGTGACAGTATAATGTTTGCAAACATGATAACCTCGTAAGTTGTGTACCTGTGCATGTTTTTCTCTAGCTCTGCTGCAAATATCTACAATCGTCTGGATTTCTCATAAGAGCTAGTTTCTATTTTATGTGCATTAAAACAATAGTTTACATGCCAACAAATATACTTATAAAAAATATAATCTAATAATCTTCCCTTTCCCTCCCCTAAACGCAAGAGTAGACTAAAGATAGGTAATACTGTTCTACAAAGCAGGAAAACCTCATGCAAATCAGTGACGTGAGGGTGCTTCATGCTATTCACATAACCACCCTCAGCATCAGTCCTGTGTTGGCATCTAGGCATCTATTACATAAATTACAATTCAGCCCTTTGAGTTGGTCATTTCAGAGTATAACGTCCCTGTGAAGAGATTATACTGTTTTTCATTCTCCAAGCTAAGAAAAGGATGGGAATGTTGTCCATGCTTTTAATAGCAAAACTGAAGTGTAATATTTTATTCAATGTTAGGAGAGCTGGCAGCATATCTGAGCCTCATAAATATTCTCATTTTCAGGCCTATATTTTAAACCTGGGCCTACATACATTCTGCATCTGTGCAAAACAGAAACTAAAATGCAGAATGAAAAGGGTTTGCTCTACATTACTAACGTAGACTGACCGAAGAGGCCAGAGCGACAAAACAGTAATCCTAGAAGTATAACAAGGGAATGAACGGATTCAACAGGTAAAGAACATGGAAAATCCGAAACAAAGGTTTGGAGAACAAGGAAGTGGTACAATGCTGCCTTGATAATGCTGTCCACAGGATATGAAAGAGCCTTTTATACTTGCCTGAGGAAAAGGGTCAGCTGATGCTAACAACACATTTTCTGGTTTAAGGTCACAGTGAACAATATTTTTGAAGTGAAGATGCCGCAATGCCACAAGTATCTATAAAGAAGAAAATTAGCAAAATAATTTTATTTCATTCTAGTAGTCTATTTCAGCATGTTTTCTATCAGGATACAAATTTAAAAGGTCAGGAGAAAATTTTCAATGAGTAGTCAAACTCAAGACATTGAAATGAATAAGATTAAAATAGTGGATTTCTAAGGCAAAGTGAACAAAGTAACATATGATATTCACACAGCATCCAAGATAGGTGTAGCTGGAAGAATTTAATAACAGCTAACTGGATACTAATTCTTGAATATTTTTAAAACCAGGACTTTACTAGGGGGCTTTGGCGGCAGAGTTCATAGGGAGTTTCACTACTAACCCAAAGGAGGTCCACTGGCACTTTGAAAGCATCAGTGGCTCTGAGGGAGAAAGATCTCATGCCTATGAAAGTCCCTGGAAGGTCAGCTATGAGTTGATTCCAATATAATAGCAAATGAGTGCGAATTTCACTACCATTTTATTGTTGTTTTGCTGTTACTGTTGTTAAGTGCTGTTGAAAGGAGACTCATAGTGATCCCATGTACAACAGCTCTGAATTCTGCTCTATGCTGTGCCAACCTCATCATCTCCAATATAACCACCCTCATTACCCCAGTCACTGAGTCAATTCATCTCACTAGGGCCTTCCTGTCTTGTGTTGTCCCTCTACCCTCACAAACATGTTGTCCATCTTCAAGGACTGGTCCCTCCTTGCAACATACCTAAAGTATGTCAGAGCTTCAGAATTGTTTCCTCCAAGGAGCGGCCTGGTTTTACCCTTTCCGGGATGAACCTGTTTGTTTTCCTAGCAGTTCATGGTATATTCAATATTCTCCAGCATCACAGCTCAGAGGTATCAATTCTCCTATCCTCACTAGTCATTGTCCAGCTATCTGATACATTGCAAGTAATTGCAAAGACCATGGCCTGAATCAGGAGTACCTTAGTCTCCAGACTGACATCGTTGCTCTTCAGTACTCTGGAGAGGTCTCTGAGAGCAGATTTTCCCCAATGCAATTCGTCTTTTTATTTCCTGGCTGCTGGTACCAACAGAGTTGATTGTGGAGCCAAACAAACTGAAGCTGTTAACAATCTCAATTTCATGACGCTGCCAACTGGCCCAGTATTGAAAATCTGTCTTCTTGATGTTGAGCTCCAATTCATATTGAAGACTGCAGTCCTTGACCTTCTCCATCAAATGCCTCAGGCCCTCTTCAGTTTCTGAAGACAAGGCTGTATCACCTGCATAATGCAGGTTTTGAGTTTTCCTTCAATCCTGATGCCACACTCCTCATAGAGCCCACCTTCCCAGATGATCTGTCCCATATAAAGATTGAAAAGGTATGGAGATAGAATTCAACACCTTTTCTGAATTTGAACTATGCAGCATTTTCTTGCTCTGTTCTGATGACTGCCACCTGGCCCAAATATGGGTTTTACATAAGTATAGTTTAACGTTCTGAGATTCTCATTCTTCTAAGAGTTAGCCACAGTTTGTTGTGATCCTCCCTGTGAACAATAGATCTGATCCTTACTCTATCCTGCACCATCCTCCTCATCTCTGACATGCTCGAGCCCATTGTTACAGTCACAGTTTCAATGCATCTTGTTGAGGGTCTTTCTCTCTTTCTTGACTCCACCTTTCCCAGCATGATGTCGCTTCCAAGGACTGGCACATTCTGATAACATGTCCACAGTAAGACAGACAATGTTTCATCATCTTTGCTTCTAAGGTTGCATTTTCTCCAAGACAGATTTATTCGTTCTTTTGGTAGTCCATGGGATTCAACACAACAATTCATCGGCATCAATTCTCCAGCCATTCTTATTTATTGTCCAACTTTCAGAGGTATAGGAAGTAATTGAAAACACCATGGCTTGGATCTGGGAAATCTTAGTCTTTAAATTGGAATCTTTGTTCTTTAGCACTTTGGGAAAGTTCTTGACAGCAGTTTCCCCAATACAACATTTCTTTTAATTTTTTAAAAAATATTTTATATTGATTTACTTACAAACTTCATATGCGTTGTGCTTTCACACTACCCTACATTAATATTGTGTTTCACACAATCACTCCCATTCATTATGTTTAATAAAATTATTCACCCTTGGACCATGCCCATCATTATGCTGTATTTTCAGATCCCTACAAAATTGTTCCCATTTTCTTTAGCCCCTCCCTCTACCCACAAATTATGTAACTCTGATTTTGCCCCATCCCTCCTCTCCTCTCAGCTCTAACTCCTTCTTCCCTTGAATCCCCATACATGTTTTACTAGTTATCCTTCTATTACTACAATAATGGTCTTATACAGTATTTGTCCTTATGAGACTGAGTTAGTTCACTCAGCGTAATGCTCTCCAGTCTCTCTCATGTTATGTAGCAATATTTGAAATCATTACTTCTAACTGCTGCATACTACTCCATTGTGTGAATGTGCCATAATATCTCAATCCATTCAGTTGCAGTTGAACGTCTGGGCTGTTTCCATGTTCTTGACACTGCTAGGAAGACTGGTGTACAAATCTTCATTTGTCTCTCAGTTCTAATTTCCTTGGTATTCATTATAGTAGAACATTGGGTCATATGGAGTTTCTGTGTTCTGCGTTTTGAGGATATGCCAAACTGCCTTCCAGAGTGGCTATACCATTTTACAATCCCAGCAACCATATATGAAAGTTCTCACCTCTCCACAACCTCTCCAACATTTATTGCTTCCTACCCTGCTAAACTTTGCCATTGCTACTTGGCTAAGATGGTATCTCATTGTGGTTTTGATTTTAATCTTTCTTATTGCCAGTTATTTTAAGCATTTCCTCATGTGGATGTTTGCCAACAGAATGTCTTCTGTGAAAATTCTTTTCATGTCCTTGCCTATTTTTGTAATTAGGTTAACAGTCTTTTTTCTTCTGGAGGCCCAGGAGTATTTTGTAAATGTTTGTTAGATGATCTTTGTCTGAGATGGTATTACCAAATGTTTTTTCCCAGTCATTAGGTTTTCTTTTCACTCTGTTGGAAAAATTTGATGCACACAGGGGTTTAATCTTTAGAAGGTCCCATTCATCAAATTTATCCTCTCTAGATTATGTATTTTTATCTGTATTTGGTATCTTTATAAGAAGGTGTTTCTTCTGTAGACTAGGGATTTTTTGTTTGGTCCCAGTTTGTCTCTTATGCACTTTATGGTTTGGGGATTTACTCCCAGCTCTCTGATCCACTATGAGTTGATTCACCACTTCTTTTGATTTCTTGACTATTATTATCTTGGGTGTTGATTGTGGATCCAAGTAAAATGAAGTACTGACAACTTCAATCTTTTCTCCACCTACCATGATGTTGCCTGTTGCTCCAGTAATGAAGATATTACCAACATATATATTAGAATTTTATGAACAGCTTTTACTACACATACCTGCAGATATTTGTTATAGTAGACTCTTGATGACATAGAAATCAAATAATACATTAAGTCACTGCAACCTTTCACAGTCTAGTTTAGGCTTTAAAAGAAGGGACTAAACAACAAGGCTAGACAACTGTAGTTAGACAGTGATAACATTTGATATTAAACATTACCTTCCCACCCCCCCTTTTTTTCTAACTGATTTCTTACCTGAGTAATTAAAAACTTCGTTATGTGCTCTGGCAACCTGCCCTTTTCACTTGACAAGATCATCTCCAACATGTCTCCATGGAGTTTTTCCATAACAACAAACACTCTTTCAGGCGTTTCAAACATACACTCCAAATTTACAACACCGGGGTGATGAAGGTTCTATTAAAAATAAATAAAGCACTTGAAGAAAATGAGTTCTTTGATACTGTTTGGCAAGCTCACTGATTAGACAAAACTGCTTAAGCTTAAAGCTAAGAAGAAACCCACACTTACGATTTTTAACACCTCTATATTCCACATGTGCTGTCTTATATTTTTGAAATTCTAACGTCTCAAAAAATACATCTTCACTTACCATGCGTAGTGAAACTATTTTTTCCCCATGCTAAAAAACCCTAGCTCTAGCACAGTGAATTGTTAATTAGGTTTTAATTAGAATACCATATTGAGATATCTGCAATTCCTTAGGATCTTCTCCAATATTAAGCATACTGCTTTAAATAAGTATAGTAGTCTATATCTACAAAATTGGCAAAAATTTAACATAAAAATAGAAAAAAATGATACATGAAGTGCATGTGACTGTACTGATTAACTTTCTTAGTCAAAACCTTTGCCTAATATAACTTGGTTTTGGAGGCTGAAGGCCTTTGTCTTTAACGCTTTTAGACTGAGGGAAGATGAATTCACAAATCCAATAAAAATATTCCGTATTAGCTTTGCCCAAGACACCAAGCAGGGAGGTACACATGTATAATTGTCCAATATTTCATACTTATTTCTGTAATACAGTAATGGCTACTGACTGGTAGGCTGCCTTTGGCTTGATTCGTTATTTGTCACATTATGGAAATGATCTTATATATCTTATATTCTACTTATGTTTTAGCGATAAGCAAAAGATAAAAACTATTGAAACAAAACTTTAGGAATGATCTTAAATGCATTGAGTAGAACATAAAAAATTAAAATGGTATATTTTAGGGGGGAAAATCCCAGTGTGTAATAAAAAATTTATATAAAATGATTTTCTCACAAACAACTTAAAACCTGAAATGGCTTGCTATTCAGAAACCTCACAGATGGATGCTGGGTGGCGAGCAGCAGAAGGGGTAGTGGGTGGATCTACACTGTTGCAGTACTCTGTGCCACTATCCAAGGAAAGCTTGGCGATGACTGAATACCGAGTCAGGGCAGGACTGGCAGTAGCTCCTCTAACGACAGCCTGTTTCTCTGCTGTTTGTTCACTACTTTGGTAATTATGACCTGTGCCTTTGACATTTTATGTGTTTTGTGATTTTGATGTCTTATTGCTTGATTACTTAGTTTAATGTAATCATGGAATGGCAAATTCATGAATGTGATCTGAGCAGATGATTGCATACCTACTCAATACCCTTTTAATCTAGCTAGAGTCAATGGACATGAAACTATTCCACTCACTGTTAACTGGTCAAACTAGCTACTTTGGTTGAACATAGGTCTCCAGCTATTCTCTTCTGATCTGAGGTACATGAAAACAGGGTAGAGTCACCAAAGATCACACTAGCACTCAACAGACTATCTGACTGACAAGTTGGAATTGACTCATATCTGGCTTTCCAGTAGGTTTTCATAGGCCAGAAATTGAGTGGAAGACGACTGTCTAACTTTCTCCTGTGGAGAAGCTAGAGCATTCAAACCATCCGTCTTTGGGTTGCCAGAACAACTCCTTCCTCACCAGGCCACCAAAGCTCTCTGCAGTTTTACATAAAGATGATCAGATGGCTTATTGGTTTTGACTGACATGAGAGCACTACATCTTTAGGCAGGAAGAAGGTAATATGACTGCATGTATCTGTCTGATAACTACTATGGGTATCATCCATACAATTGATTGGAGGAACATATCTCCTACTATCTGAACACACACCCCAAGGTGTTTTGTTTTCCTTTTCCAAAACCTGTTTGTTACCTTATAGAGGAGTCAAACTGACCAGACAGACCAACAGATCTGTGTGTCCTGAGGTTACAGTTCTCCTTTTTAAAGTAACTGATCATGGTAGATGTTTTAAGGATGATATCAGATGATTCAACCTGAATTATAACTCATTTTTAATTATCTACTTGAATTTAGAGAAATCTGGTGCCTGGTGGTAAGGAATTTCACTGTCAAACTAAAGACACACAATAGGAATCTGACAGATGCTCTGAGGGAGAAAAATGGCTTATCAACTTTCATGTGATTTACTGCATCTGAAAACTTGCAATAAGGGTCAGCTATGAATTGGTCTCAGTTTGATGGTACACAACAATTACAGTCCAAATATTCAAACAATATTCTAGGGTGGAATTTGCTTCCTTAAATGGGCAAACCAATGAGGATATTCTGTGCTTAGAGGATAGAGGAGAAACTAGACGGTAATAAAGGCTCAGAGAGAGTAACACCAGGACTCAGGGAAGGGAGGGAGTGTTAAATCAGTAGATTTTTGGTTAGTAATTAAGTTGACTTTGGAGCATGAGGATTAAAAAGTTCGCCCAACCATTATTCCACATACAGCCCAATACAAATGCCATTTCATGTGTGTCTCTACCTAATGACACAAAGTACAATAACAATACCATGTGTTCTTAGGATAAATCTTTCCTTTCTTTCATCTAACTTGACAAGTGGAACCCTTATACAAATTTAGGACTTCAACATATGTTTAAATGGTACACATCTAGAAAGCTCAAAGAAAGAGATTATATAGTGTGTTCACCATAAACCCTACTGTGCCATTTACAGGGTAAGCTCTGATAGATTCAATTAAGGTCCTTATATTATATATAGGGAGAATTTTGCTATTTTTAGATAAAAAACAATATTTTCAGATAAAGTTTTTAAGCATATTCAATGAAGATATCAGACTGAGCCCAACTTACTCAGCCAATCATTGCCATCAAGTGGGAACTGATTCAAAGAGATCCTCCCCTTGGTTTCAGAAGAGGTAAATCACATAGGAGGAGACTATTCATCCTTCTTCTTTGTTATGTTGAAGACTGTTCACAATTCAAAGGCATCAATTCTTTTTCTGTCATCCTCAGTCATTGTCCAGCTCTCTCATGCATAGCAAGTAATTGTGAAGACTATGGTCTGGATCAGGCGTACCTTAGTCTCTAGACTGACACCATTGCTCTTTATAACTATGGCGAGGTCCCTGACTGCAGATTTCCATAATACAATGAATATTTTGATTTCTTTAGTGCTGTTGCCAAGAGTATTGATTATTGATCTGAGCAAGATAAAATTGTTAACAACCTCAGTATTATTATCTTTAAAAATTTTTTTAAAATCTTTTTTGTTGTTGTTGTGTACCATCAAATTGGATCCAACTTCCACAGGAGGAGATTGCCCCTCTTTCTCTAACTGAGCATCTCTTCTCCATCTGTCATGGCGCTGCCAATTAGTACAGTGATTAGAATCTTTGTCTTCTTGATGTTAAGTTTCAATCCATGTTGAAGACAATAGTCTTTGGAGATCTGCAGCAAACACTTCAGGTCTTACGCAGTTTGAACAAGGAATGTGTATCATCTGCATAATGCAGGCTGTTGACTAGTCTTCCTCCAATCCTGTTGCCACATTCTTCATAAAGTCTAGCCTCCTGAATGATCTGTTCTACCTACAGATTGAAAAGTTATGAAGACAGGATACCTCTCTGTCATATTTCTTTCTTGCTTTTGAACCATGCGGTATTTCCTTGCTCTTTTCTGAGGACTGCTTTCTGGTTCAAGTATAGGCTTCTCAATCAAATGCCCTGGGATTCTCATTCTTCTCAAGGATAGTCAGATGTTATGGTCCACACAAATAATTTTGCAAAGTCAATGAAACACTGATAGATAATCCTCAGGTACTCTGCTTTCAGCCAAGATCTTTCTGACATAGGCAATAATGTCCCTAGTAAGAGACTTTACCACACCATTCTATTAAAGGACAGGTCAACTACAAATAACACAATGATGTAGAATAACTATACAATTAGCCAACTTGATATCATAGATGTATTCAAGGTACCTCAGCCAACTAAAACTCAATTTATTTTCTTTTCAAGTGTACATGATACATTCTCTAGAGTTAGTCATATATTAGGACACAAAGCAAACCTCAAAATACTAAAAACTAACCCAACAAACAAACACTGAAGTAACAGTAGATGGCACAATATTGTGTGCTGAAATTGAGGAGGACCTGAAGTGCTTGTTACAGAAGGTCAAGGACTGTAGTCTTCAATATGGATCGGAATTCAGCATCATGAAGACAAAGATTCTTACCACTGGGCCAATTGGCAGCACCATGATTGATGGAAAAGCGACTGAGGTTGTTAACAATTTCAGCTTCCTTAGCTCCACAATCAACTCTTTTGGCAACCTCAGTCAGAAAATCAAAAGTGAATTTCACTGAAAAAATCTGCTGTCAGGGACCTCTCTGGAGTACTGAGAAGCAAAGATGTCAGTCTAGAGACCAAGGTGAACCTGATCCAGGACATAGTCTTCACAATTACTTGCTATGCATCAGAGAGCTGGCTAATGACAAAGGACGATAGAAGAAGAACTGAAGCCTTCAAGTTGTGGTGCTGGAGAAGAGTCTTGAACATACCATGGACCACCAAGAAAACAAATAACTCTGTCTTGGAGGGAGTAAAACCAAGTTTATCCTTGGAAACTAGGATTTTGAAGCTCCATTTCACATACTTTGAGCACATGGCCAGAGGGACCAGTCCTTGAAGAAGGACATCATGCTTGGAAGGGTGGAGGGACAGTGAAGGAGAGGAAAACCTCAGATGAGGTGGATTGATACAGCAACTGGCACAATGGGGGTAGGTGTGTCAGAGTCAGTGAGATTGGCCAAGAACAGGGCAGGCTTCTGAGCTGTTGTACATGGGTCACTATGAGTTGTAGGTGATTCTACAACACATGACAACAACAAGAAAAAGACCAAAGTGACATAATGACCTAGAAATTTACACAAGAGCAGGAAGGCTAAAAAACCACCCATGTGGAAGCTAAATTGCACTCTATTTCATCAATATTGGCTTATGTTGTTAAGTGTATTGATTGTAGATCCAAGTAAGATGAAGCCATTGGCAGTTTCAATCTTTTTTCCATCTACATGATATTGCTAATAGACAGTAGGCAGAATT